CTCAAGAAGTTACTCAAGAAGCCATCTTGAGTCAATAGGAAAGAAGAAATTACTCTAAAAAAAACAAGCAGTTTATCTCTGAAAAGGAGGTATAATAAGTCAGAATAAAATAAAAACAAATGAAGAACAGTGATGTAGCTTTTAGGAAGAAAGTTTCTTTCCTGGTTTTCCAAGGATAGGAAAGTTAAGCCTCTGAGAACTAAGGACTTATTTTGTTTGGTTTTTTTTTTTTTTTTTACTAACGAAAACTATTCCCTGCTTCCTCTGAGCAGTAATCATTTACCTGAAAAATATCCTATAATATTTCTCTTTGTGGAGGTCAGTCGGTTACAAATAATGACTTTGAAGCATGATGTATAACTGAAAGTGGCATGAAAAGAAATTCATGAGACAATTAGAACTTATGAGAATGGTGGTTGCATTAATATGTTGGGGAGAATCACTTAGAATAAAGAATTCTGAACTCCAGGGAAACATTAAAATTTATTTGACATCTGAAGTAGCTCCCTGAGTTGTTACTGCACAAAATGCGATACCAGCATACATAAAATCCTGACCTAGACTTCAGCTGTTGACAAATTTCCCTTTGACTTCGTGGGGCCAGGAGTTCAGCTGACTTCTACTCTGGGGAGTTACATAAAAACACACGAAAACCTTGAGGACATTTTATCCTGAGATTCAAATGCTTAGGTAGAAAATAGGCATACTAAGAATCTCCTCCCCTATTGACAGTGATCAAATTTTGATGGTGCTTAAAATTGCTCAGTATCTCAATTTTAACATTATAGTTTGCCTGGGATTGTAGTTATTTTCCTGGGCATCCTCAGAGCCATTTCTGTCTTGATAGACTCATTTCAAAGCAAAGCAGGGATGCAACAAACATCGCTCATTAAGTGAAAGGACAACAGAAAGAGAAGTTGCAATACTGGTTGATATTGTGGTTCAGGATGCTGAAGATATTTAGTTATCTCTCTTCTAGGCTAAATGCCGGAGGATACGAGGGGACACCTGAATGTAGTGAACAGTCAGTAAATAATTATGTGTACTAACTGCCACACGTGGGTGACCTTTATCCTTATGGGGTGTGTTTCTAGACCATTAGATTCCATGTAGAGTGGAACAGCTTTGGCAAGAGGGAGTGAACATTTGGCCTAGTTCTGAAGTGTATGTATGCTGTAACACTTATGGCATTTCTTTCCATAACAAAGCATATAATTGATGAATAACTTTTTATGGCTTTGTTTGTTTTACCGTGAGTCTTTTTCCTGTCAAGCAATAAAATCCTTTGCACAGCAGGAGGTTTTAATGTCCACTTCATGACTGAGCAGCAAGTGAAGCTGGTAGAAGTGGACAGCTCAGCCAGCTTTGGTAATCAACTGTGGCTTGGAATCTTGAAAACTGTGGGCAAATCCAGTTATTTCTGTACATATTTCATCAGAGTATTGCAACTGCTACACACGTTAGCATTTGAGCCTTCTGACTAAAAATCTTGTTGATTTTACAGATAGAAGTATTTGTCTTCATTATTTCTAACTGGTGATACTGATCCACTTTCAATTATATAGGGATATGGTCATATAGGTATTTGGCTATGAACTGGTCAGTGGTCCTGATCATCTCATTGCAATACTTTCTTTCTTAGAGCTGTTGTGGATTTCTGAAGCCTGTCTTGTAACAGCTGATTGTTTACTTTTGATAATATTTTTCTTACTAATACAAATATCTCTTCTTTTGACAGAAGACTTTAACATCAACAGCTAACAGGTATAATTTTGTAAATAACACACTGTATCTGTAGCAGGATTTTGCTCAAAAGCAGAAGCCTTGCACTTACAAATTTCTCCTCCCAGAAAATATTTTTAGGTTTTGGTGGTTTTTTTTGTTTTGTTTGTTTGTTTGTTTGTTTGTTTTTCCCTTTTTGTCATTAACTTTTACATTCAATAATATTAGTATTTTGGTATTGCAAGAACATCTGATAACTTGAATCATGGACCAAGTACTCGTTGTCCTGTTATTAGCTGTTGTTTTGCTTATCTCTATTTCTGCTGTACAGTGCAAGTACACCTGTGAGAAAGTGGTCATACCATTTTTGTTCTATACATTAAAAGCTTTCGTAATATGCAGTTTTAGATCTAGAATTAGAATTGTGTGGGATGCTGTATGGAGAAGAGAATGATAGAATGCCAGGTAGTTTACAATGATATACTGTGAATTTCACTATTTCTTAAACTGAATGTGAGATGATAGATACACCTATCTCTCAGAGAGAGGTGCAATTAGAGCTACAATTTGTATGTCAGGCTTCTTGCTGGTGTCATTTAAAATAGCTGAAATGCAGAGTTGCCGCTCACTTCTTCCATCCCCTGAAAGGAGGCTCATGCTGGAAATTCTGACAAGACCCCTGTCTTCTGAGGTGGCACCATGCACAGCTTTAAATACTGGTTAAAATGTTAATGTGTTATCTGTTAATGTGTTATCTGAAAGATATTTTTTCCACATGTAGGCAGCTCAGGATAGAGTCTCGGTAGTAAGTTTAACAAGTTCAGGGGAAAGACACAGTATGCTTATGTGAGTATTATAATGATTGACATTTTTGCAAACAGCATATGATAAGTGGTGCAATTTTATTTTCAAACTTTAATCAATAGAGAGCTCTTTGATATTGCCACATACTTTGCAAATATATATTGCCTTGGGATGAGTGCAAAACAACTTCTCTATCATGGTGTGTTTATGTTTAGGGTTTAATCAGTCTGCTTGAGTGATTGTCATAAATTTTGATATTCCAAAAAATAAATAGAAGGTATAAAATAATTATGCTTCAGGGTGGCATCACGCTGCTCGTAGCCTGGGTCATCTGGCTTTACAAAGGGTTAAAAGGGTACAAAGTCAATCACTGTGTTGAATACAGGAGCATGGGGTATGTACCAGTTTATTCTCATGTATTGAAACCCATACCATGAGGTGGGTCTTCGAGGGCTTGAGAAATTTGTCAATGGCTTGTGTTAACTTTTGGGAGTGAATTTCCTCTCAAATAAGAGGAAATGGCATTTTCCCCCACTACTGAGAAGCCACAGCATTACACTGCAGTCCCTTAAAGTAATTTTGATCCACATGGCTAGGCAGAAGCGTGAGAATGAACATCCACCTACTCCAAAACCCCTAGGATAGTACCTTCAGTGAGCCCCAGCACCAGCAGTAGTGCTGTTCAGGGAGGCTGAGAGAAGAGATTCTCTGGCCCTTCTCTGAGGCATTTCAAGCCAGCACAGAGGACTTTGGGGAGGTGTCTGCTGCGCTGGGTAAGTTTTTTGCTTGCTGAGCAGACTCTGACTGCGTGTCTCTTTTGTTCTAGAAAACAACAGCAGCAGTTGAAAACTGAACTTGGAAAGATCATTTCACAAGCATTTGAAGGCTAGCCATGTTCACAAAGAGCTGTGGTGCCAGCCCAGCTTGTCCTCTGTGTTGCAGCAGCCAGCACAGATTTGTGCTGGTCCCACAAAACCAGTCCCAGGGAATCCTGCTTGGATCAGACAGCATTAACAATATATTGGACGTGGCAGCAAAAGGACACACACTATGAACTTGGAGATAACCTTTGGCAGGGAACTCTCTCATTCTTTCTAATAAAAATATAGTAACTGGTAGGCATTTGGGATACAAGGAAGCTTGAGCATTTCAGGTGACTTGACCTGAATTTAACAGACTGCCACTAGCACTGATGCAAAACCTCTGGCGATGTCAGTAGGAGATCTGTGCCTGGCACCACTGCAAGGTATGACCTGGTTGGCACTGGGCTGGATCCTGATCTTGGCACAGAAATTTCTCTAGAGGCATGAGGGGTTATGGCAGGCTGACATCAGCATAAGATCAAGGTTTATATGTGCTGTGCATACTATATGAGTTGTTATAGACACCCATGAAAAAAAAAAGGTTTTTGAAAATTTATGTATTTTTAACACTTTATACTTGCAGCAAGAAGATACTGTTTCAACAGTCAGATGCTGCAGCTTCAGCTGTAGTTCCGCTTATTTTCATACAGCCAAAAGATTCAAGAGAATGACCTAATGAGAGGAAAGGGGGTTTTCTCCTTTTTGCATAATTTTATTGTGTGATATATGTGTGTGTGTGAGTGCTTGGTAAATATATCCTGTGTAAATAAATGCATATAAGTATGTGCATCTGTTTGCTTAAATAGTGTGTTTTCTTTTTCTGTCCCTCGCTAACATCAATTTCTGTGCTGGCTTTGTAAATATGCTGTAATGGCTGATTCTTTTGCATTCCTTGTGCTATCTTCACTTATGCTGAATAGCAGCCGACACTTTAATTGGGATGACTGAGCTGAGTGCATTTGCCTTTGGAAATTGACACTTTTCAATGTGAAGAGAGGGTACCACAAACTGACTCTTCTGTCTTTATCCTCAATCAAAACTCCATTAAATCAGACCTGTAGCAACGGACATTCTCCATTGCATTCAAATGCGTGGGAAAGGCTAGAAACTCGCAGTTTTTAAGGTTAATTAGATCCTGAAAAGGAGAATTAACTGAAGTTGTTTTCCCTATCTTTTTTTTTCCTATTTTTAAGTGCCTTTTTAATTACCTTCATCTCTGTTGGTCTATTCATATACACTTTTCCCTTTATAAGAAAAATACTATGTACTTTTGAGTTTATTAAAAACCTTTTTGATAGACAGATTCTAAATATATTTTTTTTTTAAACAAAAATGTACAGTACTGGTACATTGTGTTAAAATTTATGCATCAGATATCCCTATATATTAATATAAGCCATGCAGCTAATCGTTATTTATTTTTAACCAAACGCTAACTTTACTCACTGCTTAGGCACTAAATGAGAATTCGGTTTTCTACCAGTTGGCTACCTGGTGTTTGGAAGATAAAGGAGGGAATGGTTATGGGCATGACCACTCAAATATTCTTTGGTGGGGATGGTGGTTTCAGCAGCCAGAGCTTTTCTTCAGGCTCTTGTTACATACCTGCTGTTTCAGACAGGTGAATGATCTTCTTTTCAACTCTGCTTGGAAGATTGCCTTTGGCTGCATGGAATTATGCTTCTAGTATCAATAGAGGAACAACAGGTAAGTGACCTGCCCATGTGCCAGTAGAAAAATCACTTCTATGCCCTCAAAACAGCTCTCAAAGCCTGTCTAATACTGCCAGCAGAAGTCTCTTGTAGGAGACCATGCAAGGTTTGAGGCAATAGAAAGCTGTTGGCTGGAGTCTGTCTTATAACTTCTTTTGCATATATCTCCAAACTTCTTTCTTTCCTATATATCCGCAAACTTCTTTCATCTTTGTGTGGCTGAAAATAGAGCTATTTTTCATGCTTACCCGTCTAATGTCAGTATACTTGAAGAATGGAATGTAATGTAGGAGGGAGACATCAACTTGTTCTTGTACTCAGTTTTAGTTGAATTGATTTTGCAGAGGAGGAAAGTTGCGTACGTAGTCCTCCTCCCCATTCCAGGTTTCTTTGTGATACATTCACCTCCAGCCCTTTCCCCCACATCCCTTTGAAAAGTACTGTGTATTTAGTTCTCAAAACCCTTAGCAATAATGCAGGTATACGACGTAGCTTGAGTAAATTTGAGAAAGGCTCTATAATTTCAACAGTCATGTAGCTCCTCCTTGTAATGAAGTTCCTTGCTCCATGTTAACGCAGTTTTCGCTGTCTTTACTGTTGCTGTACAACACACTTCAGTCATGAAAAAGAAATGTTCTCTATGGATTGCAGAATTTTCTTCTTGATCCTTATTTTTTTTTTTTTTCTGTTCCTGTGATCTCTTTCCTCTCAGTTCTAGGTTTGAGATCTGCTTTACTTAATGTAAAATGCCTGGCAAGAGCAGACTGAACAGAAACTAACAAGATAGACTTCTGATCAATCATGTTACAAAAAGAAGAGTAATCAAACTAGAAAAGGAACAGAGGAAGGGCTGCTGTGGGAATGCAAAAGAAAAATGAGGTGAAGTCCATTTGAAGAACCCCGTTTGAAGATCCTGTAGTTATCAGAAATAATCAAATGCTGGAACTGGAACTGGAAGCCATGTCAGTATGAATAGTACTAAAGCTAATTGTCCTGCTGTGATGCTGAGATCAGCTGATATCTCCATGGTGTTTATGAGCTACTGCATGCAACTGGCACTTTGCTTCGTTTCTTGGAATAGATTGAGGATCTCTGCAGCGTATGGCAGAAGGGTGGTCACAGCATTGTTCTCTCTTTTGTATATATTGAGCTGTTGACAACCAGAAGATGCCAATGCTTCTCTTGTTTCTGCCACTACTAGAGCTGGAAGTTTCATTTTACCATTCTGGCTTATGTTTTGCAAGCACACAAAGAGGCAGACCAAAAGGCTCTTCTGAGCATGTAAGACTTCAGTCCCCTATATTGTGTTGGGATGAGCTTTGCTTTGGATCCTTAGCCTCAAATGCTAAGTAGCTATAAACAACTTGCAAGCAGGGTTAGTGCATGGTTCTGCTGCAGTGTTTCTTTCAAACAAAAGCATTTCACACCTGTTGTCATCTAAATGTTCTTCAACACACCCTCATTTGATGCACCCTCAGACATCCAGGAACATCAGGAAAGATACTGATTACATCTGACTTACAGTGCACTCTCAAATCTTGGCATTCTTGTTTACATAGCTTTGGGGTTCTGCCATGTCAAAGCACGCAGGCATCAGTTGACACAGATACAGATTCACTAGAGGTTCAAAACAGTGAGGTAGGGGTATTCACAATTAACTAGTGGCTTTTAATGGAAGCTGAGCCATGCATTCCCCCTGTGAGTTTGAAACTGCCAACAAAATGAAGTGCCAGGCTTATGTGACACTTAATGCAGTACTACAGTGCAGTGCCCAGTAACCTTTGCTGTGGCTCAGATGCCCTTGTTCTAGACACTGGAAAACACAGAAGATCGTCATTGCCCCAAGTGTAACTATCAGTCAAGTGAAACAGAGATTCCTTGATGTCATCAATCTCAGAGCAGCCTCCAAAGAGCACAAAGACAATCTCCTTCGAAGTATATACTTGTTTTTGCTGATGTTGGAAAACAAGTTGTTTAGTTTCCATACAGGGGAGTGTCTGATCATGAGTCACTTTTATACAGAGAATCAAGGTGCTTTATGAAACTGCTCAGTGTCAGAAGAAAGCCATTTTAGCAGCGCTTTCCCAGTTACAGATCTAAACCCATTCTTTTCTGGCATCTCCTGAAAGTAGTATATTACCTTGCTAATAGGCAGAATGTCATTCAAGGAGATGAGCTGCAATAGGCAGCCAAGATACCATGGCCAGGACCATGAAATGTGTTATTTGTGGCTAAAGCTCCTGCAAGGCAGAATAACAGAGGTTCTGTATCCCAGTTTTCTGAGGCTACCACTTGCTGACGGGATATAGACTGGATCTGCCTTAGCCCTTATCGGAGTTAATGTCAAGATCAAAAGTTAGGTCAATGAAGGTAAAATTTGCAGCATGAGAGAATTCATCATGTAATTAAGATACTGGAGTACAGAATAAGCAAAACATTGTTATTACGTAGGTGTGGGTAAGAGTGTTGCAAGGCAAGATCCTGAGGCACTCACTGAATCTGAACAGTTTGCCATACAGTTTAAAGAAAACTAAAGGTCCTGATTTCTGTTTGAAGCTATAGGCTATTCCCAATACATTAAAATTCCTCCCTCAAATTCTCTAGAAATAGTTCCACATCCCTAGAACATACCACAGGACTTTGATTGCTGCGTGATCTTTTCAGAGATCCTGAGGGAACTAGCATATCTCCATAAAAGCCTGTAAAGGCTGTTCCTATGTTGAGGCAGAACTGGCTCTGCCTGCCATCTTCTGTGATATAGAGGACTCTGGCTGCAACAAAATCAAAGAAATTCCTGCCACAGAGGTGTGAATGGGGAAGCATGGTATTGGGGGTATTACTATTCCCCAGTAAGCTCCAACCTTGTCTTTTATCATCAGTGAAAATGTATTGTCTTGCAGCTGTGTATCTGCATTCTGAAGGCTCTGTCACTCAAGGAGTGAAACACGTATGTTATTACAGTATTCTCTTTCTCTTTTACGGTAGCTAGCAAAGATTTTTCAATCCCCTTTCTTTCTATTCAGACATATGGGGATATATGGCAGGTGAAGGCTTTTGAAATAGAGTACTGTCTACCCTGGAAGCATGGGGGAACTTTTACATGTGTATGCACACACCTCCTACACGTACAGCCTTGTTTGTGCCCATATGAAAAGAAATGCTTTCCCAGAATTTGCGGTCAGTGCATCCTGTTTGCATACATCACACAGTCAACGGCACCAAACTGCAATCAGCAGGATAAGGCTGGAGAGGCCAGAAGCCTGCTTTCTGCTGCAGAACATTGTGGAGGGATGAAAGACAACAAAAAACTCTTGGGAGACTGCTGAAGAGATGTATGCTATATAGGTAGTGCACACCATCCTCTGAGAGGCAACAGAATGCTAATGCAGTGGATAAAAGCCACCTTTTAAAGTAGATAGAGCTAAGCTAGGATATACTAGGAGCATTTTGTTGTGTATTTCTGTGTTCTGCTACTTCATTAGCAGTACTTGGTGTAATTTATAAGTGCTGTGACCCTTGATGGCCTGTGAGCATGAGGCTTCTTCCAATTTTTTGCCTTGTCTGCTTCTTCCTGATTTAAGTGGCCTGTAGCAGACATCCACCACAATGTCACCCACCATGAGCTACCCTCTAATTCTGACCCATAAACTGGCAGCTGACCTTTCATCTGTCCCAAGGCACAGCTCCATACACCTCAGTTGCTCTCTCTCCTTGATGTCCTGCCTCATCCTTCATCAAGAGCTGGGTCCATCCATGGCAGCTGACCCCCTGCCCCAGGCTAGTGCACCTTGTTGCCGAGATCCCAGCTCAGAACCTCTAACACCCACACTGCATACCATAGCATACAGACACTTCCTGAGAACTGTTATGGACCACTGTGAACCACCAGCATTAAGGCATTAGATCCTGCCCAAGACCTCTGTCCTAGCAGCAGAGCAGGTGCAATGGAAGCCTACCAGCCCCATAAAGACTTCTTTCCTTGCACAGCATTTTCCAGTCCTAGCAAACCACTTGTCATCAAGGGGCAGATACCTCACCAATGGCTCAGAGGCACCTGCCCCAGCACCTCAGTTACAACATGCTGTACTCAGATGAGTATGTGAGCTGAGCTGTATTTTGGTGGTGTGTTTCCCAGGTGTACCAAGAGCACAGAATTTAGCAAAATCATGACCTGAGCTCTGTATAGCACTCATTAGCAGCAGGCTCAGCCTTTGGTGCTATGTGGTGCATACTAACAGCTTGTTTTCTTGTTCCAGGGCATGAGAACTGCATCCGCGCACGCTGGCATCCTTGTCCTTTTGTCATGTGGTATTTGGAGCCTGCACCACAGCACCTTTGCCAGGCACACTGGCTGAGTGCTTGGGGCTCTGGGGCAGCCCACAAGGGACCTGCAGAGGTTTTGGTAGGTTACAGGTGATCAAATTTACAAGGGGAGGAAAAAAGAAGAAGCTATCACTTGTTCAGAAGACTGTTACAGGATTGGTGATAAGTAAGATTTTGCTTTTCTTTTTCTTATTGTGCAGATACCTTCTCCATAACTTCTCTTTTGCCTTGAGGTGAGACAGGCTGCCTGCTATGCTGGCAATATGATGTTGTGGAGCTGGCAGCCTTTCTTCTCACAGTCCCACACTAAATGCAAGGTAAGCAGGTGCGGGGAGGGGGAGTGGGGTGGGGGGTGTGTGTGTAAATCCGAAAAGGGAGAAAGTTGTGCCATTCTGTTTCCCTTCCCCCATTTTCTGCCTGCTGTCTTCTTTGGGTCTTTTGCCATGGTACATGGCAAAGTACATGCAGGTAAAACCCTCTGAGTCTCAACTAGCAAAATCAAGAGAGCCGCAGGCTCAGTCAGTACCTATCAGCTCTGATTTCTCTTTTATCTTTCCCCCTAATCCAGACAAATCTCACATGTTTTCTGCTCCATTCTTTGGGTCAAGAATACACTGGTTAATAGCCAATTATTTCATACCCTAAGGAAATTTTGGGAAAGAAGTTCCTGGGGAGACTCAACTTGTTTTAGGAAATCAGGCTAATATTCAGTAGGTGAGACATTTCCCTTTGCTTTCCTTCTTAATACTGTCCCATGCCAGCACAAGGCTGAATTTATTGCTATAATAGGTATTGTTCAGATAGCGCATAATAGTTTCCCTGATTTTATTTTTCTTCTTCTCAAAAAGTGAAGGTTTAGCCAGGGCATTGCAGCAAAATTCCAGTTAGGTAATTAAATTCTGCTTAGTGAAAATACCCCTTTTAAAATCTGTCCCAGAATAGAGTCTGCTTTTCCTGTGAGCACTTTAAAAGGACTGATTCATTTTAACTTCACAGCTATCCAAATTCTGAAGCCTGCTGAAATTAGCCGTGACTGCCTAAACCAAAATGTGCAGTTCCACTTGAGGTATCAAAAGGTACATTTTTGCATGCTTCATTGTTGTATGAATTCTTGTTTAGATATAATTCACATAGACTCAACCTATGTAACAAATCATTCAGATTCTGCTGACTGGCAGAAGTAAATTATTTGCACAGGAAAAGCAAACACTATTTAAAACTATATTTTTATTAACATGTAGAGTAGGCTGTGAATAAATTCAGTTTGTGCATCAGGGGCCATTTTGCATGTTCAAAAATACGATAGTGAAAAAAATAAAGGCTGAAAGATAGTCTGAGGTGTGCAGTCTGGAAATGCAATCCAGAACAGATGTTCCACAGTATAAATTACTGCAATTTTTTTTTTTTAATTTACTTGTGCTACTTTAATTTATTATTGTTTATTCACTTGATAGATGGCATTTAATTTCACTGTGAGAGCTTCAGGATGAGTGTTTGATGCTGATGGCTCAAATTTATTCCTGGGCAGAAAGCCAACGTGCCACAGCCATGTTCCACTTATGCCCTCCAAGCTACATTTAAGTGGCCTTCTGTTGCCCTTGGGGTATGTTTTACACAGGAAGCTTAAAGCCTTATGCAGGCCTGCAGCTTACTCACTAGAGCGAGTGAAAGATGGCTTTGCCTCTTCTGATCTCTTCAGGAAGAAAATCAAATAATTGGATTACTGGCCCTTTGATTGTGCTCTGTACAGATGGTTCAAAATCCCATTGTATTGGACCTCTGAGATGAAATGTAAATTGATAAAGAAAACAAATGTTTTAAATTGGTCTAATATGTCGGTAGTATGTCATTACCTGATTAAGGAATGGCTGTGACTGGTCTTCTGGACAGCTAAATATATGTAAGACATCTGCTGCTAGACTGGCACATAAACAAAACAAATAAAACAAGAAAGGCCCACCCACAGGAGCCTGCTAGAGGCGTAAATTACTGCAGGTTATCCTTTCTTGCTTATTTTTATCTCTGAAATAGGAAATCAAAGCAAACAGATCAATCCATTGCAGGATTAAAATTAGAATTACTGAAGAATCTATGCATCATATGAAATATTTGGGCTGATAGAGTAGAACCTGAATGTTTTGTTCTACTTATATTTTCATGTGTATTGCCTTGAACTTCGAGTTTCCCACTCCCTGTTGTTTTTTGTTACTTGCACATGTTTGTTTTATGTACTTATTTAGGACTAAATTTATTTGCTACGCTGTGGTTTTAAAACATAATATCAGCTAAGTCTGGGAGAAGCATCCTAACGGATTTTAGACTACCTTATTGATGTCACTATTCTGTATATTCACACATGCATGCAATGATCCAAAATATTTTGAGGCAAATCATTCCATTGTGCAAAATAAATAGGTCTGTGTGAAAGCGTAACTGGGGTAAATCCCTATTCTTTACACAGTGGAGAAAACTATAAAGAAAATAGCCAAGGGTTTGATTCTTACATTTTATGTTAGACTGGTTTCTCTACAATGTTTCTTGTTAAAATCATTATCTTACCGTCCTTTTGTATTTATGTGTCTACAGAGCAATAAATAGGTACTGAAATGAGCCTGTCATCATGACTGTGTGTGCATTTATTTCACTCCATAATTTTGATGAATACATTCTACACTAGGAGCAGAGGGTTGTAACTTTAGGTGATGTTAGTGGGTAGCTCTGGTGTTCAGGGGAATTTTTTGCTGGCCAGATATCCGGTAGAAATTCCAATGACTTGGGTTTAGAATAGAGCCTCAAAACTGACTGGTAGAATACACATTAAATTAGAATGAAGATATATTTTTGTAGCTTGTTGAGATTCTAGCACATATTTGTATTAATAAGATAATAAATGCATAATGGATGTGACACTTACCTGAACATTTTCAAGTTAAAAAGATTGATAGGCAACGCATTCCATTAGTTCTCCCTTTTACAACTAATAAACTTTCAGGTCATTAAGTTATTACATGCCATTCCTCATCTCACAAATAGAACCCATAATTCAGTTTTTCCCAGAGCTGCACATTCTTTAAGTCTACAGGCTAAATTAACAGAGCACATTTTGTCAATAAAGCTTCTGTTTGGTGGGGGAAGGAGGGGACAGTTAAGCAAAGCAATATGAAATGCAAGCTATTTTTTGTGTCAGGTCATTTGTTCGCTTCAATATTGTTTTTATTCTGTTTATACATTCAGTAAATGATAATTATTATGGAAAGCCCATGGTTAATCATTGCATTATGTTTAAAATGCTTTATATATTGTTGCAGACTCTTACACTTGCAAATCTTCAGAGTTATCTTGAACAGTAAACTGTCCTTTTGCAATGAATCCTGGACAATCTATTAGTTCAGCTGTGCATTTACTGAAAGATAAAGGCTTTCTACTGTGAGCAGTGGGAAAGCCACAGAAGCAAACAAAAATCATCCATATTCTGTAGTCCTGCACCAAAAGACGAGTCACTTCCTGAGCCAGAATTGCCCATTGCAGATGCAGGCAGTGAAACCTTCTGCATGGGAAGTTATATAAGACTAAGTTGTGCCCTATACCAAGTTCCTAACACTGCCTTTCTCACCATGACTTGAAGTGGGATTACTGTGCTCTTTGTTGAGTATAATATATACATCTATTTGTAAAAAATACAACCTAGTGATAAGATGCTTGCCTAGAGAGTGGGATAGAGCAGTCCAGCGTCTTCGCAGCTTGCTGTGATTTAAAAGAGTTTCTGCTGTCCAGAAAAACAGGCAATTGTGATGGGGAGAAAAATGCGGTCTACTCTTTGCTCTCCCAGCCCCGGCAGTTAGGTGAATGCTCAGATAAGGGTCCCAGTGGGTTGTGACTAACCTCCCCCATGAAACAGCAGTCTCTGAGGAAGGAGTGAGGGTGAGCACTGGAAGGGGAAGTGGGACAAAGGGGGGCCATATTGCAGCATGTTTAGCTCTATTTTGGGGTTGAGGAGGCAGACCCTGAAAAGCTTTGCAGTGCCTTCCTTGTGGAGGAGTTGTTACAACCCTGGGGAGACTCAGAGCCTGCCTTCTTCCCTCATCTTCTGCTCTTCTGATTGAAACCTACCTGCTTTTTTGCTGTCAGTGGGAATTAGCAGCTGTGAGCAGTCATAATTTTCAACAGAGGGAGAAAAAGTCATTCCCTGCCCCAGACTGTCCCAGTGGGGTATGTGGTTCAATTTGCTGCAAGCATGTTAGCAATTAGAATCACCTATATAGAAAAATGGGTGCCAAGTCAGTGTTAGTCTGAATGTGGAGAGGAATGAAAATGATTAGCACTGAACAGGAATATTCAAGCCTGAACGCTACTGGGAGGGATGTGAATAAAATTTCAGCTGGTCTGGATCTATTCAAAGCTGTATCACATTGCAATATGGTACTTTAATAACAGCTAGTTCCTATTCTCATTAAATTTGTAGTTAACAAATGTACAGGTGATTGTTTTCAACTAAAGAAATAATGTTTTACAATTTTTAAAAAGTGTTTTCCAATGATGAATTGTAAATGACAACAATATAATGGTGTTACAGTTCACAACAATTACAGACTGTGAATGAGAGAACAGTGGAAAATTAAATGGAGAAATGGGTCTTTTAAAAAATGGAAAAAGTAATATATGAAAGGGGAGCAAAAAGCTTGTAATAGTCTTCTGCAGAAAAGCCAGTCTTTGATGGAGAAACAATTAGCGTATGTTCAGTCTCTGCAACAGTCTTGCACAGGTACAGCGGAGTACACATCTGCAGATCCAGTTGTTGCTCTCTCTGGGGCTTGTATCCATCCACTTGAAATCCCACTTAGAATACATCCTGACTGCACCATATGTGAATCATGCTGCCTAGACTATGTTATTGCCTTAAATTAGCCTCTGAAACTGTGGCTGTCTAGACCATCATGGAAGTGAGTAGATAATGCTTTTGCTTTATCAATGCATTTATAGGATCAGATTTATCTAGATAGCTAGATAGTGAAATATTCTAACAAACAGTTTCATAATCTACTGTCACTCTGTACTGTGAATGTAGCCTATGTAATTTGATTAGTTATTTATAACTTTAGTATATAATATATAAAAATAACCAGTGAGCTGAAAACACTTGAAATATTCACAAAAAGTGGCAAAGCAGGCTGGGAGATGTGGGTCTTCTTTGCACGGAAATTAGTAACTGCTAACAGCTGGAGTCTAGCCTCCAAACTTCTAGCAAGGAGCAACTTAATTTATATGAGCTGACAACTCCTAAGAAGCCCTTACACTGAATTTATCTAGTACTTCTGAGCTCTTGCTTGATGTAAAAGAAAAAAAAGTTATTATCTTTAAGCTTGTTGCTTTTTTATCAGGGAAAATTGTAATGAAAAAGTTTAACTAATCAATGCTAAGTTTTCTACTAATTAGGTGAAAGCAGTTTTTTCCTCTGCCAGTAGTTTCTGTTATGTGTCACTCATGAACTAGTGGGTAGCATCCATGACTAGTGCTATCCTGCCTTAAGTCTTTTTCCTTTTTTTTTTTTCCAAAATCTAAGAGGATATTGACTGCTAAAGCATTTATATTCTGTGGGCACCATTGAAACAGACACTTGAGAGCTGCATGTTGTTTCTGTACTTCCAGAACTGGAATAGATATGCTTAGCCTTCCTGCTATAATAAATGCTTTCTCAGTAGCAAGACAACTTATGATTCAAACCAATACATTTGACAACATAAGTGAGTGGTCTAGGTCACATCCAGTAACTTAATTGTGTTCTTGCTTATTTATTAAGAAAACTCCAAAGCTAGTTAAAAGATCAACATTCATTACTGGTATACTGGCTATTTTTACATACTGGCTGTTTTTATTTTACAGGCCTATCATGAGCTGATAAGGCAGTTACTTCCTTTTTTTTCCTACTGAGTTAATAAGTTACAAGTCCTGGAGTAGTGCTCAGTGCACTGTAATTCCTGGCTGTAAGACCTATGAGATATGTTTAAAATGAATGATCATCTACTTGGAGGAATGATGGCTCATTTTATAGCCCTCTTGTTCTTGTTGACAATAAACCATTGATACACCCTATGAAGACAAGGGCACGTTCACCGTATTCTGAGCCTTGCATGCACTTTTTGTCTGTGCTGTGGGACTCTTCACACCTCATATGTTCAGGACCAACTAGTTCCTGTCATTAGTAGAGGTTTTTTTTTCTCCAGTCTGTATTTTGAATATTTAAACTGTCAATTTCTAGTTATGTTTGTGCCTCTCTTTAAAACACATATAAATATTTCATTCTCAAATAAATTTTTAAAGATGTTATTGTTCCTCCTAATAGTTCTTTCTCTATCTGCCCAGAAAATGTTTTTCTTCTTTCAGACAGACTCTACTCTTCCTACCTCCTATTTCCTCAGTCACCTTGTAAACGTAGAGCATTACTGTTCAGAGAAAGCACAGCTTTTACACTATGTGCCTTCAACAGTTTCACTTATTGTAATTTCTTTCCTGTCCATCTTGAAAGATCCAACAATATTATTTTATCCATTATGTGACCTTCTTACTTGACATTCTTTTGTATTTGCTCTCTAAAGCCAGGAATGAAGAATGGAACAAGGCTGGGATGTATGGGAAAGGAAAGGCCAAGAGGCTAAGATTGTTCCACATAAATCACAGAACAGATGTGTCTGGAAAGTTCTGGTCTGTAGCACTGCATTAAAGACAACTGCATTGCATGGCTGTCTAAAAGCCAAAGAGTAACACACATGCTTGTGACTTCTTCATATGTTAAACTATCATTCATAAAAAGCAAGGTGGCATTCTTTTA